TTATTGATCTAAGAAAACAGTAGGCATTTCAAATTAAAGAGAGAAAAATAGAAAAGCTATACAAAGGTATTATAAAAAGAAACAAAATGTGCAAGTTGTGGTTTGAATTGTGTCCTCCCTCCAAAAGGTAGCCTGAGTATGACCTTAATAATAAATAAGAATTTGAAGATAGAATCAAGTGATGATGAGATCATTATTGGGTTAGAGTGAACCCTAAGCCCAGTGACTGACATCCTTTTAAGAAGGTTTGGTGGAGTTGGAGGCAGAAATTGGAATCAAGTGTCTACAAGTAACTGTCATAACCACCAGGATTTAGGAGAGAATCTTGAACACATTCTCCCTCTACTCCTGACTCATCTCAGAAAATTGGTAGTTGAAACTCTGGCTCCACCATGACGTAGAAGCTTTGCAACCTTGGTCAAATTAGTTAAACTTTTTGAGCCTGTTCTTTTTTGTTTGTTTGCTTTTATAAAAACAAGAAATGATACTATGAGATTTTAATATAGTATGTTAAGAGCTTGGTGTTTAGCCTTCTCCCTTCTCATTAAAGCTGGTCAGGTTTCCCCTGATATCTTTTGAGATTTTGTTATATAAGAAACCTTATCAATGTAAACTATTTAGAAGTCTGAGTTATGACAATAAAACTAATTAAAATTTATTTTTATTTACATTCACAAGAAATGAGTGTGAGAATTCTTTATAATCTGTGAACACTGTTCAGCTGTAAGGGGGAGAAATGACCTATTTTGAAAGTCAGCTTGTTTTCTTCCTTCTCTTCGCCACATTGGTTACTAGTAGCCCATTGGAAGCTTCTCATCCTCCCTTGTTCCCCAACACTAGCCACACTTGCAAGTGTGATACAACATGTGCAGTGTGATTTTGACTTACTAAGTGTTCTGATCTCTCACTTACTGGAACGTTGGCCTTTTAAGGGATATGTAGAGGTTTTAGAGTTGGATGGGTTCCTCACAGATTACTATATCTAACTGTTTTATTTTTTTGGTGAGAAGATTATGCATTTATTCAAGGGATCTAACTAAAATAGTGTTTTTCAGTATACTACAGTGTGTTTTCTTATAAATCTTCCATATCATAGTCACTTCATTTTCTTAATAACTTTCCATACTGTTTAATAGTTCTAGGTGCAAGTAAGGGCAGGGTCAGTATGACCTCTGTAGGCACAGTAAGGATTCAGCTCCACTACTGACTAGCTGTGTGTCCTTGGACAACTTAGGTTTGTGGTTTCTTTTCAGGTGTAATGATAACTAAGGGA